CCCCAAAACCCCAAAACCCCAAAACCCCAAAACCCCAAAACCCCTCTATCTTGGCTTCGTATTGGGAAATCAAAATATTTTAAGTATATCAATACGCAGAGTAAAATGAACAAGGAAGAAGCCAAGGAAGACAGCTATACTATTGATGCTAACAACGTTACGAAGTTCCACCTGGTCGATACTGATAAGTTGACTAATAGTGAGTCTTTGAGTACCTTCAAACCCATGTATACCCATCAAATCTTCTCTTATTTGGAGAAGATTGTTGGCTATCAAGGATTAAAGATAGACATTTATCTCAGCTGTGCGACCCTTAGAGCTTTGCTGAGGATCCGGTACACCAAATGACTGAAGAAAAGAAATAAAGTAGAGGAAAAATTATCGAAGCACTTCGGCAAGAATCTTACAACGAATGAAAAAGTCTTTAAAAACTGGATGAAATTTGATCTAGAGAAGTTTAGACCTAAAGGAAAATAAAGTCTATTCCTTTGACAGAATCTGCGATAAGCATCGGCATTATGAAGTTTATAAGATCAGAGTGACAGACAAGCTATTCTCGAAGGAAACCAATCGTTCACTGCAAGCTTTGCTGTTCTTTTACATCGAAAGCGCCTCGTTTATTGAGCAAGATCCATGTTGGCATTACTTTATGCTATATGAAGTGGTCAAAAAGTTTAAAAATAATCCACCTTCATACCGCCTGATTGGATTCTCCACGACTTTTGAAGAAGTTGAGAAGAGGAAGACGACCCATAGAATCTCCCAGTTTATCATCCTTCCAGCATACCAAAAGCAGGGCTTTGCAAAAGCTCTTGTAGAGGGGATTTATAAGCACTATATTGATGACAAAAATTGAAAAGAAATCAGTGTTGAGAAGCCAACTAAAGCATTTGAAAAATTATGAGAATCTGTCAAAACAAGCCTTCTCAAGGATGACTGCAAGGCTAAAAGAGTTGCCCAGGAGGGAGATAGTTATAAGAATACAAAGAAGTAAGTTTAGATCTAACAGAAGATCTCTAAAATCTGGAGTTTTGCATTCCTTTCCAACTGTTTTTGAGTGATTTCATAATAACAAAGAAGCTCTTCTAATTGTATCATCATGGAATTAACTAATTTTGATTAATTAAGTTAACTTTCGAAAATACAGAGCTAATGTTATTCACAAATCTGAGCTTTGTCTATAAGTTTACTCAAGAAAAAGCTCTTCTCGTCTTATGTTTCTTTCTCAAGCCTCCTCCTGGAGTACCAATTCTTTATGCTGGAAAATATTCAGTGAATTTCTCTATAAATAGCTTCTGTATCCAGTTAGATCCTATTTTTAATTTTATAACAAGCATACACTAAAGATCCATATAGCACAAAAATACTGACTTCAGATGATAAGCAGACCAAGAGGAAGAGAGGTAAAGGAAGGCAAGGAGAGACCAAACCTAAGAAGACCAAGGATAAAGAGGAGACTAAGAGATGCAGAGACAAAAATGATAAAAACGAGAAGAAGAAATTAGATAAAGGATCGACTCTCTCTACATCAAGTTTGATCGAGTCAGAAGATAGTGAGTGGATCGACCCTGTTGAAGAGAGTGGGAAGCAAATGGAAAGTATGGTGAAAAAGGTTATTAGGAAGCCAGCCTGAAGTAAGAAGAAGAGGGGTACAAAGAAGAGAGTGGTGAAAGAGCAAAGGAAGAGGAAGCAGAGTGGGAGAAAGATACCTAGAAGCAGAAAGAGGTTGCCAAGGCAAGCGAAAAGAGCAAAATTATAGATTTTTACTAAGTATTTTCAAATGTAGTTGAAGTAAAAGGGGTTTTGGGGTTTTGGGGTTTTGGGGTTTTGGGG